ACAGTAACCTGCTTGAGAGAAGTGGTATAAATGACATTATCAAGAATAAGGATGAGTTTTAGTATTTAAGTCTAAAATTTTTTAAAAAAGAATAAATATGACCAGAAAAGGTGATATGTGAGAAATCAGAAAATGGTTGTGTGGTGAGAATGGGAAGTGCCAGATGGACAGACGGAAGGTTTAGGAGTATCCTCAAGATACTAAAAGGACCAGAAAGAGGGTACAGATCTTCTATGGAAGCTTCATGGAAAGAAGGAAAATTATACAAAATGAGAATGAATGGATTATTTGTAAACTTTGTTAGTGAGTTAGACAATAAGCATTTATAAATACTTATTATGTGCCAGGCACTATGCTAAGTCTTAGCTAAACATCAATATGGGTAAAAATCACACTATCAAAATATAATCTGATAGTTAATTCTTCTGTAATGTAGATAGTTACCTTATTATTAATGTTTTGTAAATTAGTATCTTTGCTAATAATTAATGATGATGATGATGGCTATCATTTGTATAGGAGCTTTAAGGTTTACAAAACACTGTAAACACTTTAAAACACTTTTGGTCTTCACAACAATCCTGGGAGATAGGTTTTATTGTTACACCCATTTTACAGGTGAGGAAACTGAGGCAGAGATGTAAGTGATTTCCCTAGGATCATAGAGCCAGTAAGTGTCTGAAAGAGGATTTGAACCATGTTCTCAAGACAATATACATAACATGTTCCTTTGATTCTGTTGTCTTGCTTTTAGACTTTTGGTTACCATTTTGAACACAGTGTTTTTGAGGGGGGTTTTACTTGTTATAATTTCAGTAACCCATGATATCTTTTATATGAAAATGCCTTAACTATAGGAAACAAGACAGGAGAACATATTTTATTCATGTCTTCTAAATTTTTCAAGCATCTATGATTTCTTCAAACTGCAATAGATTCTCCCAGCCCAGTTTACAAACAATTTGTGTCTTTGTAAATGGTCTGTGTGAATAGCTGTGGCTGAGAAACATTCACCACCTGGTTAGCAGCCTTCTGGTTGTTATCATTTCCAAAGTTAGTTAGGCTGTCGCTTAATTCTATTCAGTCTACTATGTATTTATTTAGTATTTACTCTGTGCAAAAAACACTGCAGTTCTCAAGACTTCAGAATATAGTCCATTGGCTAGCCATTACATATGTATCTTCAACATAATTTAAGACCCTGATAGAACTTGTATTCCACTGACACTGAATTCAGGAGTCCAAGGTCACCTCCACTGCATAATGCATCAAAGTAGAATTTGTTTGGGGGACAGACTATAAATGATAATTTAAAGTACAAGCTTTTAAAACTGGAAAATATGTGGGAAATTGCCCTTGAAACCAATAAAATAGTAATGCTTTAAAGAAAAATGAAGTGTGCTTTTGAAATGCATATACTAGTGGCACAGAATTTAAGTAATTTGGATAGTTAATGGGTTTTAGGACAATACAAGACCCTGAACAAGCAATTAGCCCCAAGGATCCTTCATGCTCTGAGCATTTGTGAAGCTTGGTTTGGCCTTTACCCAGATTTGACTCAAGTACATCTGTGAATAAAGCTAAGGTTTTTGTGATGGCAACATTAGAAATGGCTTTGGAGAGACTTTGTACATTCAGCTTTGTCTGACTTGAATTTTATTGTCTTTCTTTTGGCCTTTTGGTTACCATTTTGAGCACAATGGCTTTGAGGGGGGGTTTTGCTTAGTTTATAAGTTCAGTAGCTTATTATGTCTTTTCTATGAAAATGCCTTAACTGTGGGAAACAAGACAGAAGGAGAACAAATTCTTTTATGGAAAAACTTGTTCAGACTGTAAATTAGGCCAGGCACAAGGTAAGCAGAAACAGGCATGCTCTTCCAAAGCCCCTAATTGCTGGTAGAAATAGGAACATCCAGGAATATCAGAGCAGATTTTCTGGTCTAGAGAATTGTTTTGTGATTCAAAAGACAGAGGACAATCTATCTCTAAGATATTTTTTTCAGTTGAAATATTTTATTTTGATGCATTTGAATGCTCTCTATTTTTTTAATAACCTGGTGAGACCAAAACCACTTCCCTTAATATGAGTATTTTGACATTTTGGTAAAACTAACCTTAATTTTTTTTTAATGGATGGAATTCACTAGAGAGGAAAGGATGTATCCTCAACACTTATAAACTTCCTCTTTACTATTCTCTTCTCTTCCCATTATCCATGAACTCCCTCTTAATCCTGAAAAAAAAAATCCTTACTAGATCCTACTATCCTCTCAAGTTAATGCCCTATATCTTTCCTGCCTTCCAGATTATTAGGAAAAGCTAGAGATTCCCTGTCTCCACTTCACTTCTCCCTCACTTCTCAACCCTTTGTGGTCTGGTGTCTAACCTCATCACTTAAAACTCTCTCCAAAGTTACCAACAATCTCTTAATTGCCAAATCTGATGGTCTTTTCTCAGTACCCATTCTTCTTGACTTCTTTTACAGAGTTTTTGATACTGTTGACCACCCTCTTCCCCCTTGGATTTTCTCTCCCACTCTTCTCTTCTCCCCTCCCCTTCCATTGTCTTCCTTTCCCTACTCGTCTCCTCTCCTTTCCTCTTCTCTTCTCTTCTATCTCTTCTGTCTCTCTCTGTCTCTCTCTCTCTCTCGCTCTCGCTCTCTGTCATCCCTCCATAACACCACTTTCTCTTGCTTCTCTTTCACCTCATTCCTGAACTCCCCAAACGTCCTCCTAATTGGTTTCTCTGTCTTGTTGCTTTACTCCAAAACATCTTCCAAACAGATATTGAAGTGTTTTCCCTAAAGTCTAAGTCTGACCATGTTCTCCACTCTCCCCACCCATTATTCCATAAATTCCAGTGGCTCCCAATTGACCCTAAGACAGGAGTTCTTAACCTTTATTGTTTCAGAGATCCCTCTGACATCCTGATGAAGTATGGACCCCTTCTCATTAGATTGTAAGCTCCTTGAGGACAGGGATTATCTTTTGCCTCTTTTGGTGTCCTCAGTGCTTAGCACAGTACTTGGCACATACTAGGCCCTTAATATAAATGTTTCTCCTTTGATGGATTCTCATACTAATGATTTTAAATGTATAAAATAAAATATGGGATTACAAGTGAAAGTGATTATATTGAAACGTGGTTGTCAAAATATTTTTTAAAAATACACACAAACAAGTTCATGATGTCAAGTTAAGAACACCTCTCGAGGATCAAATATAAACTTTTTTGTTTGACTTTCAAAGCCTGTTGTAACGTAGTACCACCCTTTCTTTCAAGAGTCCCCTTCCTACACTTTGTTAATAATACAATAATAATAATCTTTAATATAAAGGTTTATGGTTTGCGAATGTCCTTTACATATATTGTTTCATTTGACCCAAACTGCAAATCCTTGCTATGCTCCACATACTGCATTCAGTCTGCCTATTAGAGGGAGTTAACCTCTGTCTGTCCCTCTTTCCTCAACTACAAAATGAGGATAACAAGAGTATTCACCTCTCAGAGTTGTTGTGAGGGTCAAATGAGATAATATTTGTAAAACACTTGGCTCATATATAAAGGCTAGCTATTCATTATTATTATTATTATCATCATCATATCTCCTGTTTTTCTGCCTTTGTACTGCCTGCCCCTCGTGTTTAGAATGCTTTCTCTCAGTATAATACTAACTAATATTTATATACTGCCTGTTGTATTCCAGGCACTGTGCTAAGTACTTTTCAAGTATCATTTCATTTTATCCCCACAACCCTGAGAGATAGGTACTATTATTATCCCCATTTTACAAATGAGGAAACCAAGGCAAATAGGTTTTTGTGACTTACATCTAGTAAGTATCTAAGACTGGATTTGAACTCAGGTCTTCTTCATTCCAGGGCCATTGCTGTATCCATCGCGCCACCCAGCTGCCTAACCCCTGCACCTTAGAATCCCTTGCTTTCTTCAGAACTCAGCTTAAGTACCCCTCCATATAGGGTCTTTCCTGATCTACCCAATTCCAAATATCTTATATTTATTTTACATATCTTTATTTATCTACATGTTGCCTCCCCTCCATAGAATATAAACTCTTTGAGGGCAAGAATTATTTTATTTTTGTCTTTGTATCTCTAGTGCCCAGCTCAATGCATAGTACACAGTGGGTGCTTAATAAATGCTTGTTGATTGACAGATGTTTCTGCTGCCATCCCTGTGGCTCTGTAGGTGGCTTTCCCCATTCCTCTGGCCTGCTATCCTCAACACTGCCCTTAGAGCCCTTCTCCAGAATGAAGTGACTGCACCTCTAGCCGCTATTACCTTAGTACACAAAGGTGACATCGTCTCTGAGAGAATTCTTTGTGGGTGTCACCTCTGGATGTCATAGCGGTATGTGCCAGTGCTGTGACTGTAATATTTTACATTCTCATCTGTCCAGTGAAAACTACACTAAGTGACTTCTGAGGTCTCTTTCAGTTCTAGAACTATGATCCCACAGGAGTTTCCCACACCTGTGGCATTCAAGTCAAAGCTACAGGTGAGGAAGAAGGGGTAAACTGACCTTCCGTTCTTTTTTTAATATAAATTGTTATTGCTGTACTTTGTTTTTGTATCTCTAGAATTTCTCCTAGTATCCATCCCTTCTTTCCTCCCCTGTTCCTGCCTCCCTCCCACTCTCAGAGCCCATCCTATATAACAAATCATTTTTTTCTAAAGAAGGGGGAAAAATTAGAAGGAAGAGACAAAATATTCAGGAAAACTGATTAATGCATGAAAAAAGTCTGAAAGTACGTGCAGTGTATTTAGCTGTTGACCTCTCACCTCTATGAAAGAGTGGAGTAGAGACATCTTCTTATATCTCTTCTTTGGGACCGTGTTCTTTGTCATTCTGAAACATTAACGTTTGATTACTTTTTGATTTTTCTTTCAATTTACATAGTTGTATTGACCTTGGAGTCTTGGTCCTGAGTGGAGGAAATGAGGCATCATCAGTCTGTCTTGTCTTCTTTCAACCATAGGTATTTATCAAAGTGCTGGATAACAATGATAATGGCCCCGAATTCTCTCAACCAAGTTATGAGGTCACGATTTCTGAAGACGTACTGCCGGACACTGAGATATTACAGGTTGAGGCAACAGACAGAGATGAAAAACATAAACTAAGTTACACTATCCACAGCAGTATTGACTCAGTAAGCATGAGGAAATTCCGGATTGATGCCAGTACTGGGGTTCTGTACATTGCTGAGAGGCTAGACCACGAGGCCCAAGACAAGCACATTCTTAACATCATGGTAAGGGAGAACTATTCATTTGCTCTCCATGCAGGATCATTAGCTATTCAAGGCATGTGCCTTAGCTTTCAGATGTGTGAGGGTACTAAATTTTACTAAACAGTCATAAATTTAATCTGTTCACAATTGATTGTGCATTTATTTTTTGCTGTTTTATTTAGGTGAAGAATTATTGTCACTAGAAATCAACTACCTATTTTTCTAAACTGAAATGCCAGGAAAGCCCCACAAATAGCAGATGCTAAATAGATATTGAAAAGGAAGGAATAGGCCCTATTTTCTTGATTTTCTTCATGTCTGATGTTGGGGGTAGCCCTTAGAGGATTTAATGGAAAAGTTTAGAAACCCTTTGAGAAGTTAATCATAAGGATAATCACTTGCTTGATCTACACTCTGCACAATCCTTGGGAGTTCAACAGTCTTATATATTGTTCACTATGTCAACATAAGACCAGCAATAAACATATGTAAAATAGATTTCAATTAGATTTCAAAACACACTGAAACCTGCAGTGAGAATTAATTGTGAGTTTATGTGCATAGAGCCCCTACATTATAGAAGAGAAGGGGCCCCACCTTTGAAATGGAGATTGATTATTTTAGATAATGACAATGCCAAGATAACTTATTATCAGCCTCTTTTTTTATTTGTTTGAGAAAATTGGAGTTTGGAAAAATCAAATAACTTGTCTCAGATCACACAACCGGTAAGGGGCAGAGCTGATTCAATGCTCATTCAAGCATTTTGACTCCACGTCCAATGTTCTCTCCACTACCTCCACACTACCTAGCCATGAACAAGTTCAGAAATGAGGTCTTTGCATTTTCATTCATCACAAGACATTTGCACTCCTGATTAGCAATCATTGTTTCTTGTGGTTTGCCTGAAGGTCAGAGATCAGGAATTTCCTTATCGGAGAAACTTGGCCCGAGTCATCGTGAATGTAGAAGATGCCAATGATCATAGTCCCTATTTCACTAGCCCACTGTACGAAGCATCTGTATTTGAATCTGCAGCCTTGGGATCGGCCGTTCTGCAAGTGACTGCTCTGGATAAAGACCGAGGGGAAAATGCAGAGCTTCTGTACACCATAGAAGCAGGTGAGAACTGATTCTAGGATCAAACTGCGGCTCTGATGTCTGGGGTGAACAGTGGCGAGTATTCATGTCCAAGTTAATGTATCTTCAGATAGCCACAGAAAATCCCTAAATTCATCCTCTGACCAGTTTGATCCAATCCAACAAATATTTATTAAGCACCTGCTCTGTGTGAGGTGTGAGAGGATAAATAGAAAGACAAAACCAGGGACCCTACTTTCTCCTGGGAAAATACAATATGCATATAATATATTGTCTTCTTTCTTGAATAACATGATATTTCTTGAATGAATACCTAGTGATTCAGGAGTGCATAGAGTAAAAACAGTTGCTAACATTTCATCCAACCTTCATGTTTTTCTTGAATGGAGAAGATACAGAAAAGGTGTACAAAAGTCAAAGTCTTTTTTACCTTCAAGTAACCAGGTCAAAGACTGGATCCATAGTAAACAGAGTATCACTACATATGACAGCTGTGAATGCCTTCTGTACACTGACCCTTAGGAGGCTTTGTTTAGTTGAATGTGGTCAGAACGTAGTTCTTATAAACTCCCACTACCCCAAAGGCCAAGACTACTGCAATACATCAGAGTTAGTCCAGTAGTGGAAGGAGTTAGGGGGTATGGAGCCTGGAGCCTTCTTGGGTTTTCAGATAAATACAGGATATTAGTCTCCCAGGCAGCCAATTTAATCCCTCTCCCATATGTGTGTATATATATATATATATATATATATACACACACACACACACACACACACGTACATATATATGTACACACATACATACATATACATATATAATTAGCCTTACTTCCATAAGATAAAACTGATGGCTTAAAGATTAGAAACCAAAATCATTTTTTTGACAAAAGAGATGAAATGGCCGTGGCTCGAGTGGTCTCACAAAGCAAAAATGACAGTCTTCTTTTCCCTGCTATATTTTTCCTTAGATTTTTCTGTCTCTTTTTTCCCTTAAATATTCAAACCACATATTTTCTGAAATGTTCTGTAACATTATGTCTGTTACAGACGATGCCAAATGCGATCTCTTTTCCTGCCAGTGGCAGGGAGGTTTCTTTCCTTTAATTTAAGTGTGAAGTACTTCCATGAGTGGTTACAATTCAAATATGAATGTTTCAGTGACAGCTTTGGACTAGAAAATATTAGGGAAGGGGAAAAAAAAACACAGCTTCCTTGAAAAGAGACTCTTAATCATCATATCATAAGGGAAAAGTGCTTAGTGTGTTAAGTACCAAATTGTGTTTGATGTGTTATTAAGCTCTTTCTAAAGAGCACCAACTACACTGAGGGCCTAGGGTGTGCCCTCTAATAATATACCTCAAGTTAGGTTTAGATAGAAACCTTAGAAGTCACCTAGGCCAGCCTCTTGCTTCAAATAGGAAACCCTTCTATATGTTGGTCACATATCTTTTCATCTCCGGCCCCTAGCACAGTGCCTGACACATAGTAAGTCCTTAATTATTGATTGATTGATTGGTTGATGAATTAATTGATTGATTCAACTCCTACTTCATACTTGAAAAAGAAAGGAACTTTTTCCTTTAAAACTTTTATTGAAATCTTTTGTTTTTACATAATTTTCCTTTCCAAATATGTTGTTCCCCAAAGAGCCATCCCTTGTAATGAATAAAAAAATGGTGGGGAAAGCCTGCTTCATCCTTCCAATGATATCTTAAAACTCACTGCCTGGAGTCCATCCCATCTTGGGACAGATCTAGTTGTTCGAAAGTCCTTCCTTCTTTTTCACTGTGGTCAACCTCCTTGTAACTCCCATCCATTGGTCCTAAATCTGAAGCTACCCAGAACAAAACTAATTCGTCTTTGTGACAACACCTTAGGCATTGGAAGGTAGCTATCTTGTGTCCCCACTCTCCGCTATTCAAGTCTTTACTTCAATGAGTGCGAAATACCCCTCCTCTTTTGTCCAGTGCTCATATTGCAGCATTTGTTTCCCCTCACCATCCTAGGTCACCTGGATCTGTTACAGCCTATCAGATGCTTTTCATAATATCATGCCCAGCACTCCTCAGGGTTTTACCGTATTTTCTGTTTTCCACTATGAAGAGAAATTATTCCTTTCTCCGTGCTGAAATACAAACGTATCTTACAAAATGTTTTTAACGATAATAACCATTTATATAGCATTGTAAGGTTTGCAGAGCACTTTACGTATATTATCTCATTTGATCCTCATAACAACCCTGTAAGATAGTAGCTGTTACTCCCATTTTACAGAAGAAGAGTCTGAGGCTAGAAAAGGTTACATGATTTGTCCAAGGTCACACAGTAACTACGTGTCTGACATAGGATTTTAACTCAGGTCTTTTTGGCTCCCAAGTGCAAGGTTCCATCCATTAAACCAAGATACCTCTTTTGGCCTGTGTCTGTGATTTCACTAGTGTAGGAAACCTCAAGGTTCCATCCATTAAACCAAGATACCTCTTTTGGCCTGTGTCTGTGATTTCACTAGTGTAGGAAACCTCCCAATGACGCAATTTCCTCAGCTAGATAGGTAGTGTTGCTTAGTGGACAGAGAGCCACCCTGTGAGTCAGATGACATGAGTTCAAATGCTGACTCTGTCACATACTGACAGCATAATCCTGGGCAAGTCACTTAACCTCTTAGCTCCCCCAGGGCAACTCCCTAAGACAATAAGTTACATAGAAATAAGTAGAGCAAATTACAGATTATTAAGAAATTGAACATTTGAAAGTGTACATATGACATGTATCCTTGACTGTGTAGTAAAGATGACAATCTAGCTTTGTTTTGGACTGAAAAATAAGAACTCACTCATGTAGAGGGCCTGATGATCTAAAGTGCACTTTCTAGGCCTGAGTCAAATGGTTTCCATATACTAAATGTTCTCTGCTATGGAAAATAAGGATGTCTGACTTGGAAATAGAGCTTAGACGAACACTGCTGGCTAGGGACAAAAGAAAATCTCAATAAATGCTTTAGTCATTATGCGTTTATTTAGGAAAATAAAACTTTTTTTTCTACTCAGTAAGTCTCTACCTAGAAGATTCAGTGACTTAGCTATTCATTTTTATAGCCAGACCCATTTTGTTATCTGCCCTCTGTAGTCTTGAGCCTGCCTTAATGGTTTTGACATTTAGTAAATCATCTATATGTCTCCCATCATGCACTACCTCAGAAGGAGTAAGAAATATTTAAACTACTAAGAAGAGTAAATTTTAATTTAAAGAATCCAGGTCTGTGAGCAAACAGGTTGTTAGAGAAATGGGAGAATGCCTGATAAGAGAAGGGAGGGAAAACACATCACTAGAGATGCTTCATCCCACCAGCTACCTTTTTCAAGATGTATGGCACCCACCCCCCCTTCATTACACACTCCTGGTTTTATCTTCCATACTATAGTTCCTCTGTCTTTCATCTGAATCTCTGTCTGCTTTCTGAACTTCAAACCAGTGTTTGTTTCAAAGCTCTGAATTTTCACAATATAATTGTTGACAGCTTTTTCAACTCTAAATATGTCAAAATGTGGCCTCTGCTTTCTCTGATCCGTGAATGCTCTGACTCAAAGATGCCAATGTTAATTACTGAATTCAGATTGTACACATTTTCATCATTCACAACAAATCCTTTCAACACTTATAGGGTTGGAACACCGCAGGTCAGAGCAATGTTCTCATTTCTTTATTTAATTTTTGGGTTGGGTTGGAGTAAGCCTTAACAATGTATGTAACATGCTATGACTTAAAGTCATTTCTTGACAGTTCAAGTAACCTGAACATAACTAGTTACGCAAATGAAAGGTTTATCCATGAAAAAATGCATCAAAGTCTAGGTAGGGGAAAAAAAAAAAACCTGCCTGATTCACTTTGTAGAATGTTTTCATTTGGAATGTGAAAAAAAAAATCATCCTTGTGATGTTCTGTGAGTACTCATTAACATATACTATATTCATATTTTAAATGAAGGTATTTTTCTCCCTGTTTCATATATATGTTCTGTGCCCGAACTATACCTTTCCACAGAAGGATAGAGAGGAAAGAAAATCTTAATCAATCCTACCAGAAAATCACTACCTTCAACTCATTATATCGTTTAGTTCAAATGTGCCTAGTACACCAGTTTCTTTAGCCCATGATGGAAAAACCTGTCTATTTGTTTAATCCCAGGCTGACAATTATAATATGGGAAACTCAAGATAAATTACAAATAATCAAAGAAGCACCTCTCATTTACATTAAGATCAAAATAAGTGAGTTCAAAAATCTTCTTTTGGTTTATTCTGTTATCCTAAGCTATCTTTTAAGGAAATGGTATTCAGAAAAAAATGTTTTTTGAAACAAGTGTAAATAGCTTTTTTTTTTCAATTTTTATGTTTTAGGCAACACTGGAAACACATTTAAGATTGAACCCATCTTGGGCATCATTACCGTATCAAAAGAACCAGATATGACAACAATGGGACAGTTCGTTTTGTCCATAAAAGTCACCGATCAGGGCTCTCCACCAATGTCTGCTACTGCCATTGTCCGCATCTCTGTCACCATGTCAGATAATTCTAACCCCAAGTTCACTCAGAAAGAATACCAAGCAGAAGTGAATGAAAATGTCGACATTGGGACATCAGTCATTTTAATCTCTGCCATCAGTCAATCTACACTCATTTATGAAGTCAAAGATGGAAATATTGAAGGGGCCTTTACCATAAACCCATATTCTGGTGTGATAACTAATCAAAAGGCCCTTGATTATGAACACATTTCCTCTTATCAACTCACCATCCAAGCCACCAACATGGCAGGGATGGCATCCAATGCCACGGTTAATATTCAGATTGTTGATGAAAATGACAATCCCCCCATTTTCCTTTTTTCTGAGTACTCAGGCAGCCTCAGTGAGGTTGCGCCAGTAAACAGCATCGTCCGTAGCTCAGGTAACAATCCATTGGTGATTCGAGCCACAGATGCTGATAGTAATCAGAATGCTTTGCTAGTTTATCAAATTGTTGAGTCCACTGCTAAGAAGTTTTTCACTGTGGATTCCAGCACGGGTGCCATCAGAACAATCGCCAGCTTGGATCATGAAACCATTGCCCATTTCCATTTTCATGTTCATGTGAGAGACAGTGGTAATCCCCAGCTGACTGCAGAAAGCCCAGCTGAGGTCAATATCGAGGTGACAGATGTGAATGATAACCCTCCAGTTTTCACTCAGGCAGTATTTGAGACAGTCTTACTTCTACCCACTTATGTTGGGGTGGAGATTCTGAAAGTCCAAGCAACAGATCCTGACTCAGAAGTACCAGCTGAACTAACATACAGTCTGATGGAAGGCAGCTTGGACTATTTTTTAATTGATTCCAATAGTGGGGTGCTCTCCATAAAAAACAGCAGCCTTTCCAAAGATCATTATATGCTTATAGTCAGAGTGTCAGATGGTAAGTTTTATGGTACTGCTATGGTGACCATCATGGTAAAAGAAGCCATGGACAGTGGTCTCCATTTCACACAGAGTTTTTACTTTGCTTCAATCTCAGAGAATAGTACCAACATCACCAAAGTAGCCATTGTTAATGCAATTGGAAATCGCCTTAATGAACCTTTAATATATAGCATATTGAATCCAGGAAACAAGTTCAAAATAAAATCTACCTCTGGGGTCATCCAGACAACTGGTGTCCCCTTTGACCGTGAAGAACAAGAGTTGTATGAGTTGGTGGTAGAAGCCAGTCGTGAGTTAGACCATCTGCGTGTGGCCAGGGTAGTCGTCAGAGTAAACATTGAAGATATCAATGACAACTCTCCAGTTTTTGTAGGGCTGCCTTACTATGCTGCTGTGCAAGTTGATGCCGAACCTGGGACTCTCATCTACTGGGTAACTGCTCTTGACAGAGACAAAGGTGCCAATGGCGAAGTGACCTATACCCTCCAAGAGGACTATGGCCACTTTGAAATTAACCCAGAATCAGGAAGTGTTTTTTTAAAAGAAGCATTCAATTCTGACTTATCTAACATTGAGTATGTAGTTATCATCCTAGCCAAAGATGGCGGAAAGCCCGCATTGTCTGCATCAGTGGAGCTTCCTATCACTATTGTCAACAAAGCAATGCCTGTATTTGATAAGCCTTTTTATACAACTTCTGTCAATGAGGATGTAGAAATGCATACTCCCATTCTTAGCATCAATGCAACCAGCCCAGAAGGACAAGGCATCATTTACATCATTGTTGATGGGGATCCTTACAACCAATTTAACATTGACTTTGACACTGGAGTTCTGAATGTCATTAGCCCATTAGACTATGAAGTAACACCTGTTTTTAAATTGACAGTGAGAGCCAGTGATGCTCTCACTGGTGCAAGGGCTGAGGTCACTGTCGACTTGTTAGTTAATGATGTAAATGATAATCCCCCCATTTTTGATCAACCCACTTACAACGCAACTTTATCTGAAGCCTCTCTCATTGGGACACCTGTTTTGCAAGTGGTAGCCTCTGACGCAGATTCAGAAAGCAATAGAGTTGTACAATATCAAATCGTCCAGGACACCTATAATAGTACTGATTATTTTCACATAGATAGCACAAGTGGCTTAATCTTGACAGCCCGCATGTTAGACCATGAATCAGTACAACAATCCACTTTAAAAGTCAGGGCAACAGATAATGGATTCCCGCCAATGAGCAGCGAGGTACTCGTTAATATTTATGTGACTGACATGAATGACAACCCTCCAGTATTTAACCAGCTGATTTATGAATCCTATGTGAGTGAGTTAGCTCCACGGGGCCATTTTGTGACCTGTGTACAAGCTTCCGATGCTGACAGCTCTGATTTTGACCGGTTAGAATATAGCATTTTATCTGGGAACGACCGAACAAGTTTTCTAATGGATAGCAAGAGCGGTGTCATCACCCTGTCCAACCACCGGAAACAGAGAATGGAGCCTCTGTATAGTTTGAACGTATCTGTCTCTGATGGACTGTTCACCAGCACAGCACAGGTGCATATCAGGATACTTGGTGCTAACTTATACAGTCCAGCCTTTTCACAAAGCACCTATGTTGCCGAAGTGAGAGAGAATGCTGCTCCAGGAACAAAGGTAATTCATGTTAGAGCAACAGATGGGGATCCAGGAACGTATGGGCAAATCAGCTATGCTATCATCAACGACTTTGCTAAGGACCGATTCCTGATAGACAACAATGGGCAAGTCATAACAACAGAAAGACTGGATCGGGAAAGCCCAATGGAAGGAGACATTAGTATTTTTTTGAGGGCCCTGGACGGTGGAGGGAGAACAACTTTCTGTACTGTGAGGGTGATTGTTGTGGATGAAAATGATAATGCTCCCCAATTTTTGACAGTCGAATATAGAGCTAGTGTCAGAGCTGATGTTGGAAGAGGTCACTTGGTAACCCAGGTTCAGGCCATTGATCCTGATGATGGAGTGAATTCAAGGATTACTTATTCACTGTATAGCGAAGCCTCTGTCTCAGTAGCAGATCTTCTTGAAATTGACCCTGACAATGGCTGGATGGTCACGAAGAGTAATTTTCACCAGTTGAAAAACACCGTCTTGTCATTTTTTGTCAAAGCAGTTGATGGTGGTATTCCTGTAAAGCACTCCCTCATTCCTGTCTATATTCACGTCTTGCCTCCTGAAATACTCTTACCCTCCTTTACCCAGCCCCAGTATTCATTCGCCATTCCAGAAGATACTGTCATTGGAAGCACAGTGGATACTCTCAGGATTTTGCCAAGTCAGAATGTTGTATTTAGCACAGTTAATGGTGAACGGCCTGAAAATAACAAAGGTGGGGTCTTCATCATAGAACAGGACACTGGTACCATCAAACTGGACAAGCGACTTGACCGTGAAATGACCCCTGCTTTTCACTTTAAGGTTGCAGCCACCATCCCTTTGGACAAGGTGGATATTGTGTTTACCGTTGACATAGAGATCAAGGTATTAGATCTAAATGATAATAAACCATTCTTTGATGCTACAAGCTATGAAGCCATCATAATGGAGGGAATGCCTGTGGGCACCAGGCTCATTCAAGTGAAGGCTGTTGATAGAGATTGGGGTGCCAATGGACAGGTCACTTATACCCTCCACTCTGATTCCAGTCCAGAAAAGATAATGGAAGTGTTCAGTATTGACAGTAACACAGGCTGGATCAGCACCTTGAAAGACTTGGACCATGAGAGAGATCCCACATTCACTTTCTCAGTGGTAGCGTCTGACCTTGGAGAAGCTTTCTCTCTCTCTTCCACAATCCTGGTCTCTGTCACCGTGACAGATATAAATGACAATGCACCTGTCTTTGGGCATGAAGTGTACCGAGAGCATGTGAAAGAGAGTGACCCCCCAGGTGAAGTTGTAGCAGTCCTCAGCACATGGGATGAAGACACATCTGACATTAATCAGCAAGTGAGCTATCATATTACAGGTCAGTCCCCTGTTTCTATTACTTGTGTAGCCGTCTGAAAAAAAAGTAAAGTTGGGGTAGGGGGGAGAGACATGGAGAGCTCAGTTCAAACATTTCTTAAATTCCTACTAAGTACAGAAACTCTATGCTGACTGCTGGGGAGATGAATTTCAGCAAAACGGGCCCTGCCCTCAGGAAAAATTTACATTTTAGAGGTGAGGAGATTAGCTTTGTAAAAGGGCTACTAGAACTTGAAATTATCTGTCTTCTGAATATGCTTTTTATTTTCCTCACAGGTTATGTATGGTTAATAACTTGCCTGCTTAGAGTGAATTTGTTATAGTTTTTTGTTTTGTTTTGAAAAGGAAAAGGGAGAGTTTAAAGAAAGAAAACTGGAACCCATATACACATACTCATACACCCCCAAATTTCCCAGATTAATGTATGGTACTGTTCAAATGGTTTGGCATGAAAACCAGATCAGCACAGAATAATTCTCAGCTGGAGGAAATAAACACTGTCTTTTGAAGAGAAACTTTTATAGTGGTTTGTCAATAAATTTTCTCACCACTCAGAGTTCAATGAAAAATGAATTGTCTCATCCCAAGGAGGCTTTTCTGTTGAGAGTAAAAAACACAAACACTAGTGTTTGGCCTGCAGTAGGGGGCTAAGATTAAAGAGGACCAGGAAAGGCTTCTTGTAGAAGATGCGACTTTAGTTGAGACCCGAAGGAAGCCAGGAGCCAGAGAGGAGGGGAAAGTATTCTAAGCATGAGGGACAGCCAGTGAAAAACCCTCAGTCAAGAGATAGAGTGTTTTGCTTAACAGCAAAGAGGCCACTGTCACCAGCTCATAGAGTAGGTGAAGGAGAATAAGGTGTAAGAAGACTAGAAAAATAGGTAGCACAAATATCCCCATTTTATAAGCTTCTCATAAGTGACTTGCCCATAGTTTCACAACTAGCAAGAGAGGAAGGATTTAAATTCAGAACTTTTGATTCCAAGTCAGGAACTTTATCCATTATACCAGCGGTTCTCAGTATTTTTGGTCTCAGGGCCCCTTTACACTCTTAAAAAAATTGTTGAGGGGGCCAGGTAGGTGGTGAATTAGAGCACTAGCCCTCGAGTTAGAAGGACTTTCAGTTCAAATCCGGCCTCAGACACTTAATAGTTGTGTGACTCTGGGCAAATCTGATTGCATCCCCTCTCAAAAAAAAAAATATTGAGGACTCCAAAGAGCTTTTGTTCTTTGTGGATTATAAATATCAAAATTTACTGTATTAGAAATTAAATCTGATACATTTAAAAAAAAACAAGCCATTACATTGTAACATAAAAAATTATGAAAAGAAAACTGTATTTTCCAAAACAAAAAAAATTCAGTGAGAAAAGTGACATTGTTTTATATGATTTTACAAATCTCTTTAATGTCTGACTTAATAGAAAGCAGCTGGATTCTTATATCTGCTTCTGCATTCAGTCTGTTACAATAGGTTGTTTTGGTTGAGGTGTATGAGGAAAATCCAGCCTCACACAGATATGTAGCTGGAAAAGGGAGGAACATTTAAAATAGGCAAATAATATCTTAGTATTATTATGAAAATAGTTTTGATCTCCCAGACCCCGTAAAAGGATCTCAGGGACCCAGGAGTCCCTGGACCACACTTTGAGAACCATTGCACTACCTGCCTTTCCTGATCAGAGCATTATTAGATTAGCAAACGGGTATAGCTAATGAAGGGACAGTTGCCAGGAGAAAAGGAACCTTAATGAATGGTGAACAGTCCTCCTAAAAATTGTTTTGAGGGTTTTCAGGTCAATATTTTGATGTTGTGACATTCAAAGGCAAGACTTAGGAAAAGTGACAGAAGATTTTAAAGAATCCATCAATACTTGTAGTCAGGTGGCTTCCTTTTAGAAAAACTGCATTATTCAGAGAGAAAAAGGAATTAATTAGACTGCCCATAGGACATGGAATCTGCTTAACTATGTTAGTGGAAAAGTTAATTAATCACTACTGAATAAGAGCTGCAGCAGGGCATACATATGAGCACTAGCCAAAGGTACCTTTCATTTCAGCATTTTCCTTCTTTTTGCTTTCATGAAACTTTTCCCTACAATGTTTGCTGTTTAAATCTCATTATGCATTTTATACTTTATCACATACTGTCAGCCCTCCATCTGCAAAATGTACATTTCTGCAGTAGAGGAATGAAGGATAATAGGAAGGAAGAGAAGAGACATGCGAATCATCTTTGATTTATATGTTTTCGTTTTTATTACAGAAACCTTGTAGACATTCTGAGGAACTCTTTCTTATTAGGAAGACTGGAGTTTAAATGTACCTTTCTAATTATTTATGCACTTTCCCTGAAATCCCAGTGATTTAAAGGGCCCATACACTATCTCATCAACTCTACACGAGTGGGGAGCACACAGTAGCTTAAAGCAACAATTACTATTGGCAATGCCAACCGACTTGACGTTAATTAGATTTCACTTTTCCTTCTTACATAGCAGTTGGTTGCGTACAACTTGGCCATAATGCTCCAGATTAACAAAAGATTGTTAATCATTTTAGATAGCAAAAAATCAGTTGCAACCTGTACAGAAACAATTTAGTGCAATAGAACAGGTTAAATTTGTGCGTGTCAAAATAATCAGTGGTAGCATAATTAGATTTTAACGGATGGTGGAGGGTTTATCAGTTCATCCTAATCTTCCCCAGAGGAATGTGGGGCCCACACCTTTTGTCAACAGTTTCTCTGAGTGGTTAAAAGTATTGTCTATGTCTCCCTCACCAGAGGAACACCATTTGACCCATGACGTAAATATGCGTCAAGGTCACAAATTAGAACTCCCTTTCTGGACTTTCACTTTCCCTCCCTCAGGTGTTCTGCTAGATAAGAATATGTTCTCTGACTTCCTGTCTTTTAAGATCCCTGGAGGAAAAGGTGAGGTCTCTCCTGTTTTCCAGTGAGGCCAAAATCCCTGGCAGATGTTAACTTAATTCAATTTAACAAGCATTTAGTAAGGACCTGCTCTGTGCCAAGCACTGTGGTGGGCGTTAGAGGGTACAAAAGCAAAAATGAGAACAGTTCCTGTCCTTAAGCCTACCCTCCTGGGGAGAGGTAGCACATATATAGGAAAGTAAATGTAGATTATATGCAGAAAAATAAATACATAGTGCTTCCTTCCACCACCATAGACCTTGAGAGGATGAGCCTTTACAATAAATAGCACAGGATTCCAAGAGGCAGAAGTAGAGAGGGGAGGAAGTATGGAGGACAGGTTCAAAGGCAAGTTGAGGAGTATCCCGTGTTTGGCTGGGATACGGAGTGCATGAATGCAAGTGATACAAAATGAGGCTATAAAGATAGTTAGGAACCAAATTGAGAAAGGCTTTAAATGCCAGAGGAGTCGTCTTTTTCTCCAAGAGGCATTAGGAGGCCACTGAAGCTTCTTGAGCAGGTGAATGGCATGGACAGACTGTTAACCGAAGACCACACCCAACATCTTCACCTATTTTAATTGCACTTTGTCATCCTAGGGGATGGGAGGGTAGAGATGGCAGTCCCTTTTTCATTTTCTTTTTTGCTGCTCTTCTTTCTCTACTTTTATCATCACAAAGTTAAATGATGTGGAGTAGTCCTATTGTCAGGTTCAGCTTCAGCACATTCCAGTGCAAACAGAAAGCTGTTCTGTCCCTTCTCTGCATTCTTCTCTTAGTTTTTACTCACTGATAAATTTGATCTAATTGCAGTCAGTCAATAAACATTTATTAAGCACCTACTAATTACAGTGCTTTTCTCTGAAGGGCTTCTTCAATGACCCTTTTGTTAGGGCTTTTTAAATATTAATGTATCTTTGTGTCTTAAAAAACTTAAAAAAAAATAAAATAAAAAAGACCGACTCTATTCCTGGTTAAGAACAGCACAGCTGTATGATAAACCTTCATTACAAGATACCTTAATAGAACTCACTGCCATTGCTTGATTACATAATCAACAGCTAATGAAATTGTCTTGGTAACAAGAGCTATGGCATATTACATCCTCTCCTGAGACTAAGTGGAAAGACAGTCAGTTGTATGGTTCTAAGAAGACTATTGATTGTTCACAGTTTGAATTTGATTGTCCTTCAGGGAAACCAAACAAGAGATCATCTCAAACTCCTCTGAATGGATTTTGTTTTCTCTGGAAGTTATTTGTTTCCACATGGGGCATATAAATGTCATGCTTTGCTGCAAGAGAATCAGATGGATTTAGGATTTTTGAGTGGTTGTCATTTTTTAGTATCCTGGACTATCGAGTTTGAGAAGGAAGTGAGACCAGCTTCTTGTTCCTTTCCCAGTAGCTTTAGTATAGAAGGCATTTTTTTTCAGAAACTTAAGGAGATCGATTTCTTCTCTGACTGTAGGAGGGAATCCCAGAGGAAGATTTGCCCTGGGCCTGGTGCAAAATGAATGGAAGGTTTATGTAAAGCGACCCCTTGATCGAGAAGAACAAGATGTTTACTTCCTGAACATCACTGCCACAGATGGGCTTTTTGTCACTCAGGCTATGGTAGAAGTCACTGTCACTGATGTGAATGACAACAGTCCATTGTGTGACCAGGTGAGTCAGATGCTTCTCATCTTTTTTCTCACTAATCTGTGCTTTCCTCTTGTTGACTTTTAAGGGACGTCATTTCATTTCTTTCCTGTAGGGAACAATAGTACGTACTTCCTGGCTTGCTTCAAGCCTTAAATGAGATAATATTTATAAAGTGCTTTGTAATCCTTAAAGCATTTCATAAATGCTGAGTAGTGGTAGTAGTAATAGAAGCAGTAGTAGCAGCAGTGGCAGTAGTAGCAGTAGTAGCAGCAGTAACAACAGCAGTAGTAGTAGTAGTAGTAGTGATGGTGGTAGTAGTGGTAGTAGTAGTGATGGTAGTGGTAGTAGTAGTAGTAATAGAATAGATACATCTAAAGTATAGCCATAAAAATGGCCTGCCTTATCTCAAATTGAGACCCTTTGAGATTTTTACCAAATAAAAAAAAATTCTACTTAACTAACACATGTAAAGAAAAAGAACTACCTGTTCATCAATCTAATGCTCATGTGTATATGACTGACAGGTAGGTAGGTAGCTCAGAAGATGGAGTACCGAGTCTGGAGTCAAAAAGACCTGAGTTCAAATCCAACCCCAACCACTTCCTTGCTGTGTGACCCTAGGCAAGTCATTTAACCTCTCTTTGCCTTAATTCACTGGAAAAGAAAATAGCAAACCACTCCAATATCTTTGCCACGAAGACTCCACGGGATCACAAGAGTTGGACATGAGTGAGCAGCAACAACCTGGCTGACACTAGGTGTCATGCTGACAGGCTTGGATCCTTTAGTAATTGTAATTAAAATGGAATGCCATTAATTAGATAATTTAACTCGTGTGGCCTTGCACACAAAGATTTCTGATGATCTACTCATTTGGAAAATGTGAATGTCCTCTTAATGCAATGACTCAGCTCAATGCCTTCTTATGTTTAGTAAGATTATCATTTGCTAGCCACTTAATAGATTTTAGAATAAAGTGATCCAGACGTGAAAGGGCCATGAGTGGTCAGAATGGATTCCTAATCAGCCAAAATGTCACAGAAGAAGTGTAGACTTTAAAACTTGGGATTTAGTCGCAATCCTATCACCTACTAGCTAGGAAACCTTGAAAATAATTCGCTTCCCTCCTTGGGTTCCAGTTGCCTCATTTAAATCCAAGTTGCAAAATCCTATCCCCATTACACTAGACATTTCTGTGATTCCCGAAAATCAAATCACCATTTCCATGTTGTTTCCCAGCACAGAACAGAAGCATGGCATAATAGATAGAATACTGTACCTGAAGTCAGGAAAACCTGGGTATAAAGCCTTCCTCAGACTCAGACTAGCTGTGTGGCTCTGGGCAGGCCATTTAAGCTCTCTTAGTCTAGGTTGTCTCATCTATAAAATAGCAATGATACAGGGTTATAGTGGGATCAAATGAGATAATTTATAAGGCTTTGTAAACCTTAACGTGCACTGTCTGTCTCTGTCTCTCTCTCTCTCTGTTTCTGTCTGTCCATCTGTCTCTCTCTCTCTCTGCTTGTATGGATCTAGATAGAGATATATACATTTTTTAATTTATATATGTATGTGTGTATGGATATATGTGTATATATAATTCTGGTGTTCTACAGCTTAGAATTCATCTGTGACATTTGTATGACTATTTAAATGGGAAAAAATAGGTAGAAACTAAATTATCTGCATCTGCTTTGTTTTGTTTTTTTCCCTGTCCCTCCTCAGAAGTGTTTGCTTCTGATTACTCCCTTTCTCAGTCTGTCCTCCCCTCTATCATCTCCCCGCTCTCTTATCCCCTTCTCCCCTGTTTTCCTGTAGGTAAGATAGATTTCCAAACCCAATTGTGTATGATATTCCCTCCTTAAGCCAAATCCTATGAGAATAAGATTCACTCATTCCCTCTCACCTTCCCCCGTTTCCCCTCCACTGAAAGAACCTTTTTTTTCTGTTTTATGTGAGATAATTTACCCCATTCTACCTCTCCCTTTCTCCTTCTCCTAGTATAATCCTCTCTCACCCCTTCATCTTCATCTCACCCTGTGCCCTCTATCTATCTATCTATCTATCTATCTATCTGTCTGTCTGTCTGTCTGTCTGTCTGTCTGTCTGTCTGTCTGTCTGTCTATCTATCTATCTATCTATCTATCTATCTATCTATCTCTGTGTGTGTGTGTATTTTTTTTCCCTCCAGCTACCCTAATACTAACAAAGGTCTCATGAGTTACAAATAACCATCTTTCCATGAAGGAATATAAACAGTTCAACCTTAATAAGTCCCTTATGATTTCTCTTTCCTGTTTACCTCTTCATGCTTCTCTTGAATCTTATATTTGAAAGTCGAATTTTCTATTCAGCTCTGGTCTTTTCATCGAGTGCTTGAAAGTCCTCTATTTCGCTGATTTTTCATTTTTTCCCTTGAAGGATTATACTCAGTTTTGCTGGGTAGGTGATTCTTGGTTGTAATCCTATCTCCTTTGCCCTCCAGAATATTATATTCTAAGCCCTTTGGTCCCTTAATGTAGAAACTGCTAAATCTTGTGTTATCTTGATTGTGTTTTCACAATACTTGGAATTGTTTCTTTCTGGCTGCTTGCAATATTTTCTCCTTGACCTGGGAACTCTGGAGTTTGGTTACAACATTTCTAGGAGTTTTCTTTTGGGGATCTTTTTCAGGAGGTGATCGGTGGATTTTTTCCAGTTCTATTTTACCCTCTGGTTCTAGAATATCAGGACAGTTTTCCTTGATAATTTCTTAAAAGATGATATCTAGGCTCACGTGGCTTTCAGATAATCCAATAATTTTTAAATTATCTCTCTTGGATCTATTTTCCAGGTCAGTTGTTTTCCAATGAGATATTTCACATTGTCTTCTATTTTTTTATTCTTTTGGTTTTGTTTTACAATGTCTTGATTTCTCATAAAGTCATTAGCTTCCATTTGCTCCATTATAATTTTTAAGGAAGTATTTTCTTCAGTGAGCTTTTGGACTTCCTTTTCCATTTGGCCAATTCTGCTTTTGAAGGCATTCTTTTCCTAATTGGCTTTTTTGGACCTCTTTTGCCATTTGGGTTAGGCTGTTTTTTAAGGTGTTATTTTCTTCAGTATTTTTCTGGGTCTCCTTTAGCAAGCTGTTGGCTTGTTTCATGATTTTCTTGCATCATTCTCATTTCTCTTCCCTGTTTTTCCTCTACTTCTCTTACTTGTTTCTCAAAATCCTTTCTGAGCTTTTCCATTTTCTGGGACCAATTCATAGTTTTCTTGGGGACATTGGATATAGGAGCTTTGGCTTTGTTGTCTTCTTCTGGTTGTATGTTTTGATCTTCTTTGTCACCAAAGAAAGATTCTATGGTTTGACTTTATTTGCACAGTTTGCTCACATTCCCAGCCAATTACTTGAGTTCTAAACTCTTTGTTAAGGTAGGGGTCTGCTTCCAGTATGGAGAATGTACTGTCCCAAGCTTTGGGGGTTTTGTACAGTTATTTTCAGAAATACTTCTAGGGATCTGTAAATTTTCAGTCCTTCCAAGGTGGTACAATCAAGGGCGAGGTGTGTACTCCTTTCCTGACCTGTGGTCTGGTCTGTCGGTGACCACAAGCCTGTTTTCTACGTTGGAAGTGTGAGGAGGATTTCCTCCCCACCACCACTACAAATTCCTCCACACCAACACTCCTCTTCACCCCAGGACCACTACCCAGAACTGTGACCCAGATCCAAGCATGGGCAAAGCAAGAGAGTCCTGCCTCAGTGCCAGCAAAGATAGCCCTGCAATCTCCCTCTGATCAGCCACTTAATTCCCCTTCAGTCTGTGGATCGAGAGCTCCAGAAGCAGCCGCCCCCTCGGGGCTACGCCAGGACTGGGACAATCTTCTCTCTCACCACAATCACAGACTTTTCCTACTGACCTTCTAAGTTGTCTTTGGCATTTGTGAGTTGAGAAGTCTGGAAACTGCCACAGCTGCCTGTGATTCAGTCCCCTGAGGCCTGCTCTAGGTTTTCTGAGGCCTGGTCTTTGCCTGTGCACCCACGCTGAAATGCAGTCCTCTCCCAGCCTGGCGCAATAGACCTTTCCAATCAACTATCCAGGTTGTCTTGGGCTGGAAATTTGTTTCACACTGTCTTTTTGTGGGTTCTGCTGCTCTAGAATTTGTTTAGAGCCATTTTTACAGGTATTTGGAGGGGTTTGGGGGACAGCTCAGGCAAGTCACTGCTTTTGCTTCACCATCTTGGCTCTTTTTATGATTTAAAAAAAAATCCACACTAACCCAAATCTACAAATACTTAAAAACATTTTTTTCTCCTTTGTCTAGGTTGCATACACAGCTTTGTTTCCAGAAGACATTCCATCAAATAAAATCATCCTTAAGATCAGTGCCAAGGATGCTGACATTGGGCCCAATGGAGACATTAGATACTCACTCTATGGCTCTGGAAACAACAAATTTTTCTTAGATCCAGAAAGTGGTAAGGTTTTGTGTGTTCTTTGGTGAAATGACAGTTTTGATTCCTAGGTACAAATGCAACTGAATCTTATCCCCCTAGCTCTGGTGTGCTTTTTAGATGATAAAATTACTAGTAGGTGACTAACCAGCCCTGCAGATTACACGAGTGCCTCATTGTACTCTAATAGGATCTACTTATTGATATCTAGGCTTAAAGTTCATAATAGATTACATTTATGTTACATTCTTGGTTACAAGTTGCTTTGCATACATATCCTCATATCCTGTTTAGAGGGTTTATATGAATATAGGAAAGGCAGAATCATCTCGTTTTAATAGTTTTGCCTACGTTACAATCTTACCCCATGGCACTAGAGAAGTGGCTCCTGGGTAGTTTACTTTAGCCACAAAAAAATTGTTTTTGACCGGAAATCTTATACTGTCCCTGTGTTTATCAATATCTTCCCCCCCCCATTAGGCATTTCCAATTACTATGCTTTTTTACCTCTCAGTAAGCTATAAGAAGACAATTACTTTCAGTCAATCAGGTTTTTAATTTTATTGATATAATTTGTTTTAATATAACCTTCATTTCCAAACCTATCTCTTCCCATTTCCTTTACATGATGAAATTGTTCCTTATAACAAAGAATAGAAGAGAGAGGGGATAAAAAAGTGGTTCAGCAAATCCAACCAGGACCTTGTCTGAGTTTGACAGTATATGCACTGTTCCACGTCCATAGTCCCCCACCTCTGCAGAAAAGGGAGGAAGGTGAATTTTCTCATCTCTTTTCAGAAGTCAGATTTTCTCATTATAATTATACAGCATTCAGTTTCCCTTTTTTGTTGTTGTTTCTTTTTTTCCATTGATAGGGTTGTACTCATAGTGTATATTATTTGCCTGGTTCTTCTTACTTAACTCCTTCAGCAAATAATTCTTAGGATCTGTGTCCTACCCCCCGTAAAAAAAAAAAAGGTAAATATCAAGGAATGGTGGAATTGAAACCCTTTTATGTTTACTTTATGATTTCTCACTATTATTACTATTTGATTTTCATTAGACTTTCTTTCTTTTTAGGCCATGGCCTTATATTCATGGCTAGGTAAAATATTCAAAGTAAAAGGATATGAAATTTAAGTTACATGTCCATAGTGAGGGCAGGAGCTAATGGAAATAATGCCTCTCTTCTTTGTATAAGTTCACAAAGACAGGCACTGTAGCCTAAGAAACAGAAGTTTGATCCTGAAGTCAGGAAGGCTTCCCTGGATTTCAGGTCCTGTCTCTGACACACCAATTGTATGAACATGACAAAGTCATTTAACCCCTTGTTACTTCAAACATTTGGTTTGGGTCAAAGTCATCAAGCATTTATTAAGCACCTACTCTATATTAGACATGGTGTCAGTCAGTCAATAAAGATTTATTAAGTGCCTCCCGTGGGCCAGACTCCATGCCAAGTTCTGGGCACTGTGCTAACTCTCCATGAGCTTATATTCTCAGACTGTAAAGTTACAGAGTTACTGATCTACATTATTTAAGAAAATTTCTCAATGTCATTGAGATCATAGGTCCAGACCTTCTCCCCATTGCAGCCACCAACATTTATAAACCACTTTCCTCCCAAAAAGATATTTTTATGTAACCCCATTTTACAGATGAGGAAACAAACACAGGTAAGTTTGATGACTTGCCCTCAGTCATGCAGCTAGTAAAAGTCAGAGATGTGATTCCAACCTTAGCCTCCTAACTCAAGTCAACAAGCATTTATTAAGTGCTTACTATATACCAGGCACTGTGCTAAGAGATTGAAAGAAAGACAAGAAACAGTTCTTGGTCTCAGGGAGCTCAAAATCTAATGAAAACCTAACAAAATGTGTGAAGAAGAACTGTATTTTCCAAATTTCTATTACTGTTGATTTTGTTGAGCAGATATTTTTTTGCCCATGATGGGACCCAGCTCATAGGGGACACATTGACATAGCCACATCAGCAGTAGGCTCTTACTGGCCTAAGATGTAAAAATTTTGAGCTGTTTACATGGCAAGATGCAAACAGTTTACTAGCCTTTGTTTTCACCTTCTATGAATTGTCACCACCATGCGTTTTATTTTATTCAAGGCTGTTACTATGCCAGTTCCTCTATCTGGTGATATTTAAAAAATACCTTCTCTCATCTCATAGGATCTCCTCTGTTAATGACAGTAGTTAAGCTGATGTCATCCTCAGTTTTTTGCTTTTTCCCTGTGGTTGAGAAGGAAGGAAGGAGAGAGGAAAGAAATAAGAAAAGGTTAGGAAGGAGGGAGGGAAAGAGAGAAAGGAAGGAAGAAGGAAGGAAAAGGAAAATAAAACTGATTTATTATCATTTTATCAATTTATTATTGTTTACAATGTGCCAGGTAACTGTACTAAGGGACAAAAAGATTGTAGCTGGGGACATAGAACTCTTGTAGATCCCTAGGATGGGTTTGGGGTCAGGTTTTCATTAGTGAACTGTGCTGCTTATACTGCTTTGCTGCTGTTTGTGACCAGACCTTGGTGCTGAGAAACCTAAAGATGCATTATGTTCCCCCAAGTTGCCAAAGGAAACAATCCCAGGTGCTGTGCTTTTGGCCATGTGCGGGTTTAGTTACACACTTTTGAAGGACATGCAGATGTGTTTGCTGTATTTCAAGAGGCCCTTGTGCTTTCCTGGTTGGTGAAAGAGAAGCAATAAGGAGACTGTTCTCTTGTGCCCCATCAGCCCTCTAAAGCAGGGATTCTCAACCTGTTTTTAGTCACCATGGTCCTCTTTGTCAGTCTGGTGAAACCTATGAACTCTTCAAAATATTGTTTTTTAAATGCGTAAAATAAAATACATGGGATTATAAATCAAAACAATAACATATTGAAATAGTTATCAAAATATTAAGAAAAAGCAATTCTCACACCCCAAGTTAAGAAACCCATACTCTAGGGTTACCTACTCTTTATGAATCTTGCATATATCTATTTATGTGCATTTTGTTTCCCCAAGGTGAGCTCCTTAAGGACAGGGACTGTTTTTTGTCTTGCTTTGTATTCTCAGAACTTAACCCAGTGCCTGGAATATAGTAAGTAGTTAATAAATATCTTTTGATTGATTGAATGATACACTCTGTATTGGTGGATCCATATAATATAGTTTCTGAATTCTGAAATTTTTTTGCAATTTATTATTTTTTTTGTTTGTTTGTTTATTATTTTTCTCAGGTGAATTAAAAACCCTGGCCCTTTTAGACCGAGAAAAAGTTCCTGTGTACAACCTGATTGCCAGGGCAACAGATGGGGGTGGCAGGTTCTGTCAGTCAGACATCCGCCTGATTCTTGAAGATGTTAATGATAACCCCCCCATATTTTCATCTGACCATTACAACGCTTGTATCTATGAGAACACAGCCACCAAAGCCTTGTTAACAAGAGTGCAAGCCATGGATCCTGATTTGGGTAAGCCGAGAACACAGACACATCCTGATGATCCCTTTGGACAACTCGTCTTCTTGGTTGGGTGGCCATTCCTTTGCCATGTTCCTGTCAGAACTTATGCATGTAAAGGCCCAAATTTTCCTTTCAGCTTATGTACTTCATGTGTCTATTATAACTCACCAAGTCTCCTTCTCTGCTCTTTCTTTCTGGTAAGTACTTTAAAGGGAGCACATTAAGAGTTCGTTTACCTTCCTACAGAGTTATTTTTTTGTTTGTTTTTTGTTTGTTTGTTTGTTTTCCCATATAAAGGTAACCATTTCCCTATTTTTCTGGGTCTCCTGAATGTAGTTAAGATTCATCGTGCAGCAGGGAAAATTCATTTCCATTTCGATAAAGAATTCCATCACATGCCACAGTTGAGAAATGACAATTGCAATTTATTGTGCTGCCCTTTAGTGCAAAGAACAATTACTAAATGCATTGTCGGCCCAATGCTGTCTTTCTGACAGCCATTTTCCAAAGCGTTTTGGTCACGTATGAAGTGACATTATGGGGAATGGGGGAGAATTAGAATTGGAAGTTACCAATGAAGTTTGTATTAAAACCCACTTTACATTATGAGATGGTGAACTCTGAAAGATGTGAATTAATTGCTAGGTAATCCTTCTGAGGATACATAAGTTATTGGGGTGACTGCATGATGGAATATAAATATGAAAGGGCATATAGACATCCTTTTGGTTCTGCATTTTAAGAGCTGTAAATCAAAGGATTGCAGGATGATGGGGGTGTGTCTGATGTGCTAAATAGACATTTATGTAATTCAGTGTCTCATTGCTCTAATTCTGGATTGAAAGGAAATTTATTGGACTAATGGAAGAGTAAATATAGAATAAATAATTGTAAGCAGATTTGAAGTCCAAGACTTCTGCAGATTTCTCCTTTGTGAAGTCATTGATTGTGTCTAGAATTGTAGCTGTAAGCTCAGTTGCCATATTTGATTTTGGAAGGTTAAAAAGGTCTTTTACATTATATGGCTTATTCCGTAATGTGTATGTAGTATCTTGGGATAGTGAAGACCTGTGATTTCATTAGCATAGGAAATGCTTATTAAGTAAAATCTCTCTAATCTGTGCATGTCAGCCTGAGCTCTGCAATTTAACATCCTAGAGAGTGGCCTTGGGTGCTGAGAGTAAAGTGACTTGCCAGGGATTACTCAGCTAGTTAAGTATCTGAAGTCAGATTTGAACTCAGGTCTCCTTGACTCCAAGCCCAAGGATCTATTCACTGTGCCATCTAGCTGCCCCCCTATAGATTATAGATTTAAAGTTAGAGTTCATCAAGTCCGACTGCCTCATTTCACAGATGCAGAAACTGAGGCCCAGAGAGATCAAATGACCTATCCACAGTCACTCAGCTAGTAAATTTCTGAGGTAGGAGTTGATCCCAGGTCTTCCTGACTCTCCATTCCCTCGATCTCCTTAATACTATGCTGCCTCCCATTAGCCAGCTAGATTAAGGAAAGGTTTTACTTTCCTTCAAATGGAGATAATACATACATGGATGAATTCAGTTATCATTGAAATAATTAAGAAAAGAAAAATTTCCACCTTTGAGGATTTGGTTGGCTCATTCTAGATACCTAAAGAGTGGTACAAATAGGCAGCTAAGACAATAAAGGAATTAGACTTGTTTACTTGGCCCCAGTAGACAAAACTGGGAGCAACATACAAATTTAGCTTTGACTTTGGGAAAACTTCAACGAGTGGAAATAGAGCTATCTTCAGGTGAAATAATAATAATAATAACAACAACAAAAGCTAACATTTATATAGTGCTTACTATGTTCCAGGCACTATATTAAGCACTTTACAATTATTATCTCATTTGCTATTATGATCCTTATTTTACAGATGAGGAAACTGAGGCAAACAGAGGTGAAGTGACTTGCCCAGGGTCACATAGGTAGTAAGTGCTTGAGTCCAAATTTGATCTCAGATCTTCCTAACTCCAGGTCCAGCTCTCTATCCTTTGTACCATCTAGCTACCCCTAATGGGCAGCCCACCTGTATATTAGGTACTAAAAGTCTCCTAGTGAAGTCTAGATGGACATTTGTGGAAAGTGTTGTTTAAGGGATTCTTGGTCAGTTATAAGTTAAAGTGGCCTCTGGCGTCCTCTTAACTCCAATTCTTAAACAGCTTAAATGCTTCTCTGAGGAGCCAATTAAGGTGAAAAGAAAGCCAACTCTTGCAGAAGAAATAGCAGTTTCTTAATCTTTAGTAATGGGTTGGATGAGAATGAGCAGTGTTACTAATTACTGTTCAGCTGGAAGGCAGACTGAACCTCATCCAATAATGATAAGTCATAGAATGGCAAACGTGATGAAGGATATGTGACCTCGGTATACAAATGACAAGTGAACGTCTGTCTCCTGGTTTAGTTAGATGTTCTCCTGCACTTGCTTAGTTCAGAGGATCCTATATCTAGACCTGCCTGGAACCTCAGAAGCCATTAGTCAACCCACTTCATTTTACAGTTGAGGAAAGTGAGGCAAAAGGAGGTTAAGTGAATTGTCCAAGGTCACATACAGGTGACCTTGTATCACAGGCAGGATTTGAACCCAGATTCTCTGACTCCAGCACAGCACTCTTTCCACTGTATAAGGTGTAGCCTCAGCATGGAGGACAAGCAAGAATGTGCTAAACCACAAACAGAATCCCTCTGATGCTTGGAGCCAGAATAATGACCATCTCACCAAGCCCAAGTGCCTGCTCTTTTTAATTTTGCAGCATCTCCCCGATCTTGAGTAACACGCTGGTGCTAGTTACCCTAAGAGCCTTTGTTCAGAGGTGAGCCAAATGCAATAAAAGGATGAGCAGTGTGGGTCAAGAACAAAACCAAAAAAAAAAAAAAGATGATTGTGCCATGGATTTTATGAGTTCTGCACAAGAATGTGCCACTTGCCCTGGTTTTAACACACTCTCAATTTTCCTGTAAAATGAAAACATCTTCACTCCCATAAACCAGTGACATGAACTAATGGCCCAGCATTTGCAAAGCATAGTACTTTCGAGAAAGATGAGCACACCTTTTCTGCTGTGCCCTTTGGTTAGTGTCCTCGAGCACTAATTCTGCCTCTTTCATGGAGATAGATTGGTAATTTAGTGCCTCTCAGACAAGCTCAAGGAATCTATGGTAATCGAGAGAGGATATCTGTGAGTATTTTAGGCAAAATGAGATGGAAAAGAAAGGGCGACTTCTGTTGGAAAATGCATTACGTTGTGCTCCGAGACTTGTTTTATTTCCAGCCACAAGAGAGCAGAGAGGGATTGTTATTCCCTGCAGTAAACAGGAACATGGAGCAAAGCAGGGTTATGATAAGCAAATCTACTAGCCCATTCTAAGAATAATAGCTGTTGTTGAAAGGCTTAGAATATCTTCTTAGGTCTCCATGCTGTCTCAGGAGTTTCAAGAATTTGTAGACTATATGCTCTTTAAGAGTAAGGAGAATTAATTTAAAAAAAAAAAAGAGTAGGGAACATTTATTTTTGTCATTTTTATGTTCAGAGTCCAATACACAGTAGCCACAAAATAAACATGTTTAAATGAATTGAACCCATCACAGAGACTTCTTCTTAAATGATGTATAAGGGAAATGCACTATCATAATCTCTTGAAATAATGTCTTTGCCCCAGCATTAGAAGTATAATCATAAAGAATAAAGAAAAGGTGGAAAGAGCTTCCTTAGCCTAGTTTTTCCTATTCTGTTCCCTGTTGGTTTTTAGTTTTGGTTTTTTTAAGTTACCTAGACATTCTGATTTACGTACGTGGGCAGTTGTTTTATCTATTTGAAGTGCTTACCCTCTCTGAAAACAAGAAAAAAGTGATCTCAAGCAATTTACTAGCACTTAAAAAAAGTCTCAGACCAGTGATTTCCTTAGTATATGAAGTTTCCAGGGAGAAATCCCCTTTACTGATGGAACTGGCCTGTAACATACATCTTAAAGAGTTGCCTTGGACACTACCAGGTTACATGATTGGTCCAGGATCCTGTAGAGAATATATGTCTTTTTTTTTTTAGACAATTGGGGTTAAGTGACTTGCCCAGAGTCACACAGCTAGAAGTGTTATGTGGTCTGAGGGCGGATTTGAACTCAGGTCCTCCTAACTTCAGGGCCAGTGCTCTATCCACTGTACCACCTAGCTGCCCTGAGAATATATGTCAAAGCCTGGTCTTGAACCCATGAAAGATGTAGCATAAAGAGTTGAAATTTGGCCTTCTATGCTGGGTTCTTCTAAGACCAAATCCAGATTGAGTTTGGTTTTCCCAAATAGGAATCAAAGCTTAAGACCTCCAAAAACAGCAAGGGAACTAGGCAGCTAATCCATGGTTCATCTGAGTGTTCATCTAAGTTCACCTTTATTAAGAAAGCCTACAAAACACTAATGAGTTCATTGACACAAAATGCTCTAGTTCGATGGGGACGGGGGAAACGTTGTCTTTGGGGTCAGAGGACCTGGGTTTATATCCCACCTCTGATACTTACTACCTCTATAGTTTCCTTATCTGTAGAATGACATTACATAGACTAGAAAGCTTATAAGGACCCTTCGGCCTCTTGATATGTTAACCTATGAGCCTTGAACCAGACCATCTAGTTATTTCACATAACTAATGACTGGCTGTAGTTATAAAGCTGTTACCTTTTGAAAATTATAAAGAAGGAGACTTGGAAGGAAAAATGATGAGATGGGTTAAATCTTTAGTAAGATAATATGAAAGAGTAGGTGGAATACCCATAATAAAAACAAAGAAAGTATTCTGGTTTTGAATTGAGGGTTTGTACCAGGTACGATGCATGCCTGTAATCTCTGGTGTGGTAGGAGGCTGAGGCTGGCGGATCCTTTGAGTTCCGAAGCTGTGAGTTGAAAAAGTCCTGTTGGGTGGCCGCACTAAGTGCCTACAATGAGTCAGGAGCCCCTGAAAGAAAAGGATCACCAGGCCTCCTAAGGAAGGGC